CCAGGCTTGTGATTTGGAAAGTGGGAAATTGTAGTATCCTCGGTTTATTTGGTCCCTTTGAGATCCCTTGTAGAGTTATTTTGGCAAGGTTTGCTTATCGTTGTAGCGTTTGAGCCACAGGTGTTTTCCGGGGTTGTCATGATGTGTTTTCATGTAGTATGTCTTCGTGAAGTATGCAGACCGGATCCATCCATGTGTTAAAATATTTGGATCCGACTTAGAGGGTAGTGAGGAATTCCTCGTATGTGAGTAAGACTGGTTCCGGGTCTTGAATAGGCAAGGGATCAAGTCCTGGTGGCAAGACATCCTTTGGTAAAGGTTTTGTGGAAACATCACGGAGTGGAGGAAGCCACTTGGGAACGTGAGTTGGAGGTCCGCGAAAAATACTCGGACTTGTTTATTGATGAGTAATCTGGTATTTAGATTGTGTAATGTTGTTGGACTTAAGAGCTTTATATATGTCTTAAGTTATAAAACATTGGTAATGTTTTGGTTTAATGAAAGTATGTTGTAGAACTTACCTTGATATGGAAGTTGATTATGATATTGCATATGTTGACTATATTGTCGGATTGGAGTTGTATCATGTATATTGATTATGATATGAACTGTGAGCCATGTATGTTGGAAATGGTTGGAAATGGAAGAAAATTGCATGTTGATAAGAGATGGAGTTGACCGGTAATGGGTCGGGTCGTTTAATATTATGTTGTAATATTGTTGAGAATGGAGAAAACCTATTTTTGAAAAACTTGTGTTTAATTTCGGGGACGAAATTCTTTAAGGGGGGGAGGTTATAGCGATCCCGGTTATCCCTTTACTGTTCTGTTGTATTCCGGACTCGGTTCCGTGAAGTTGGTAATGGTATCTATCTTGTTGTCGTCCTTTAATTCCACTTGATTGAGTTTTAGGATGTTTTGAGGAGGGTTGTTACAGGTTGGTTAAGCCTTGGTATCAATTCCTTGTTGTTCAGTTTTTAGGCGGTTCGCTCAAGCGGGTCTTCTTGCGCTCGAGCGGGGATTGCATACCTCCAATATTTCGTGTTCCTGCAAAACTTCTGCAGATGTGATTTTTACGCTCGAGCGGGTTTGTTTACGCTCGAGCGGTGGCGCTCGAGCGGGTTTGTTGGCGCTCGAGCGGGTAGTACTTTCTGGGTATAAGTTCTGGGAGGAAAAAATCTACGCTCGAGCGGACTGGTTTTCGCGCTCGAGCGGAAGTGCTTTATTCTTGTGTCTTGGCGCTCGAGCGGGCAGTATTGCGCTCGAGCGTGTCCAGATTTTGTTCTTGGCGCTCGAGCGTTGTGTTCTCTGCTCGAGCGGGTCATGCATATATGAGTTATCCGCTGGGTGATTTTAAATCACTTTTTATCATTCTTTCTCTCTCTTACTTTTTCAAAAACACCATTGTTGAGCTTCTCACTCTAGAGCTCTACCTTCTCTCTAGATTTTGATCTAGCTAGGGTGTTTTCCTCACCTTTGGTCTTTACAAAAGAGTTGTTGATCGTCGAGGGCTATCTTTTGATCCGAGAAACACGTGATTTGGAGCAAGTTCGTTTTCGTCATCTTCTTCGTTGGTTGTCATCTTTTGAGGTAGGGATTCCTACTCACTCTTATGGTCTTTGGCTTAGATTTTTAGTTGTTTTGATAGAGTGTTGAACTTGGGAAATTTTGGGACTTAAGGTTTCAAAATGTGTAAAAAGGGTTGTGTGATTTTGGGCTCATAACTTGTATTTTTGGGTTCCAAAGTAATGATATAGTTGTTGGTTGTTGATATTAGGCCATTGGGTCAATATTGGGAAAGGGGTAGAAAACCCTAATTTGTGGTATAAATTAATTGGCATAATTAATTTGGGAAAATTGTGAACTTTTGGAATTAAGTTGGAAATAATGAAATCGGTTCACTAAATGGTGGAATAGTGGAGTTAGATTTATTAATCGCTCACTTTTGAAAACATCGATATTTTATCTGTTGGGAGCTTTTATTATCTGTTTAGAAATAATTGCTTGGGCTACCGGTGGAAGGTAGTTTTGATTGTTGTAGACAATGCAGGATGATTAGGCAAACTAAAACTAATCAATTGGATATGTCATAGAGTATGACGGTTGATAGAATACATTAACGTTATGTATTGATTGATTGTGTATATGACCTTTGTGTATATATGCATTGTGTGTGGGGGAGGAGATAGGGGATGCAATCCACGGTTAAGAGGAAGATAGGGGATGGACCTCTAAACTGGATGTTGTTTGGGAGGAGATAGGGGATGGACTCCACTGATACAGCTCATATGCTTGTCAGATAATGTGTTGATACAGCTCATATGCTTGTCATTGGAAGTGTTGATACAGCTCATATGCTTGTCATTGGAAGTGTTGGTATAGCTAATATGCATATCTGTTGAAATGTGGATACAGCTTGTATGCTTATCTGTTGAAATATTGATATAACCTTTGTGTTTATCTATTGTGAAAATGGAAAATGTTTAATATGAGTCTTTGTCTCATATAAGTGGTTGGCCAGGTTCTGAGCCATTGATGGAAATTGTGATATTGATAAGAAATGGAAATGGATTATGAATTGGTTTATGAAAATTGAACATTTATCAATTACTAATGTCTTAGTCATTGCTCATACTGTGTTTAGCATATCTCTACTGGGCTGTGGCTCACCCTATATGGGAATATCATTTTCAGATACAGGTAGTATGCCACCTCCAAGGACATAGCTTGGGAGGCTAGAGGCAGGCAGACTTTTGTTATTTAGTTTCTTGATGTATTACATGTATATTCAAGCCAAGGGCTTAATGTGTAAATGAGTTAGTACTCTTTTGTTGTAACCAAGTGTTAACTTGGAAAGCTGTAAGCCCGTAGGGCATTTGCTTTTGTCGTTAACATGTAATACTTTTTGGTAATGGAACTCTGATGAATAGAAGAATGTGGAGCTTTTATATATCAATGCATGTCTATATTGTTGGGTTTAATGTTATTATTTTGAGGGCGTTACACTAGAGCTTTCAATTACACTTATTATAGCAAAAACTTGAGCTCCTCTTCTCAAATCTTCAATCTTCTAGCAAAATCTCTAAGTTTAAGCCTTTCTCTCTCGAAAATTGAGTTTCCTCTCTCTCTCTAAAATGTTGTTACAACAGATTTAAGTGCAAAATACGATTGATTCAACTCGTCTCTTCATATATATAGGTTTGATTAACTTAATACACAATTAGGGATTAAGCTAATTAATTAGAGCTTATGGCTAACTAAACAAAACTTAATTTAATTAAACTGAATCAAATTTTAATCAAACTTTTCAATTGGTCCTAAAGATTATGCCATCCTAATTAAACTCACCAATTTTGGTTTATGAAGTCGTTAAGCCTTTCAATTTTAGATTTAAAGCATAAATCACAATAGTTAATTCATCAAATGAACAGATATGCACTAATTACACATCAAACACATAATTAACATTCAAAATTAAATAGATATAAGCATATTACATGATGGGGGTTTTACAACTGTGGTCATATAAACCAGAGTGTGTGAGCTAAGCTATGCATAAGCCAAAATACTTTTATCAATCAAAGAGGATAAAACAATCAAAAAGAGTCTCATAATTGATTGGGGAAAACATAAAAATTCTACACAAAGGCAACCCATATCCATGGGTCATTCCTCTCTCTTTTCATTTTTGTGAGGTTGAACCTTGGTTTGTTTTGGTTGATAAGATCCAAGCTTTGTTTGAGTGATTAGAGTGCCTATATATATCATTACTCCCCAAATCATACAAAGAGATCTTCCACAAGATACGAACTACACATGTTTATATAAGGAAGGTACATTATGCAAGGTTACACACTATGTAAAAATCTCTCTGTCTCCATTGCCTTTCACCTGTAGCTCTTCTTCACATAAAAATTCTACATATAGGATTGGTTATCCAACTAGATTAGTAAAATAAATTATTCTCTTGTCCACATTTGTTTTGCAATAAGCATAGAAATATATAGCCTCGATTACATATATTTTGCATTATTAGTTGTAAGATTAAAAATCTACCAGTTTTGTTGGATAAAATGTTTATAGTATCTAATTCAAATAAAACATTTCAACCAAACAATGGAATGTGAATCCTTAGATTAATAATCTAGGCAATCAAATAGGCCCTTAGTGTGGACAACCCTTGGTGCATCCATAGGGCTTGTTTTGCAGTTGCTTGAGGTGGAGGATCAAACCCAAACAATAGTCATTGTTTAGCCCAGTTCACAAGCCACCCATTTAGTGAGATATAGTATCATCATTATACAAATTGAATTTATATATACTTTTTGTTATTCTTTCAATTTTCAAACTAAGATAATGATTTATGATCTAAATAAACAAATAAAAATAAAAAAAACTAACATAATGATTTTGATTATAAAAAATGTCACTACAATTTGTATAAAATTTTGTCTATCTTTCATTTTTTTAAAGGAAGAGAACATAAGGTAAAACAATTTCTTTTTCATCAATTTGACCTCTACATTAGGTTAGTCACTCACTATCTCATATGGTGTTACAAAGCTAAGCAATTTGTAAAAGCTAGGCTCAATGAAATCTTTTTGGCTTGCAAAGAGGTACATTATTAGTTGAATTGCAGTTTCAAAATTAAAGTGAAAATGATGATGATGAAGAACCACAACAATCCATTGGCTCTCTCTCTCTCTTCTCTTACAATGTAGTAATTAAGATCTACAATACATATATATATATATATATTACATTTATTTGCCATTTGGATCTTAGACATCAAGCTTTGGGCTACCCAAAACAAATGATTTGATTAAATCATTCAACAAATGTGGAGATTCGACATTTGCTGCATGTCCTGTGTCCTTAATTATCTTTAACTTTGATTTTGGTCCCAAATGCCTGCATATGCATTCCAACAATATAGAACAATGATCATATACTTTTTATTGAATATGCAAGATATGATCTAAGGGAGACCCAAAAGATTACCTTTGCAATTGATGGCCCAAACATGGAGGGAAGATATTGTCCTTGTCTCCCCAAATAAGTAGGGTTTCCTTTCATCATCAAGTAAAAAATCCCATGTGTGAGAAAACAAGTAGCTAAGAATTTCGCATGTTTAATCTCTTTTTTTTTTCGACAACACAAAAATAAGAAATTGGTGTGCAACATTTGTTTGGTAGATTGATAATAATAATAATAATAATAATAATAATAATAATAATAATAATAATAATAAACCCTTTTTCTAGATTTTTTTTGAATTTTTGAAGACTACTTTACATAAAAAATGAAAGCAAGCAATAGGTGATTCTGAACTTTTTACTATTTTTGTTTATGAAAATAGAAAACAATAACGAAAAAGAAAATGAAAGAGAAAACAAAAAATTTGAAAATGATACATAACATGAATAATTGTCATATGATATATATATATATATATAGACTTAGGGTAATCTAGAGATTTAAAATTAAGTAACCTGCGTTAGAATGGGAAGATCAGAATCTGCTTTCTTTGCCAATAAGTATTCCACCAACTCCAGTCTTTCTTTCTTGTAATTCTTAAACATCACCTAGAAAATCCACAATGCCAACAAGTACTTGTGAGTCTTTATATATATATATAGAGAGAGAGAGACAGAGAGAGAGAGAGAATTGGTGAAAAGTCCAATTTAAATATGGTATAAGGCATTAGATCCAAGGTAAAATCTTATTTGGTGATAAAGACATGTCCAAAAATGCACTGGCGTCGAGAAAAGTCGCCAATGGTGGTGACTGGTGGCAGCAAGTGGTGGTGGTGAGATAAAGAAATGTGTGGTATTCAACAAATAGGGTGTCGAATGGGTGGCGTGTGTCATATTTCAACATATAGGTAGGTTGGTAAATTTCAACATATAAGAAAATAGGCTTGGTGAATTTCAACAAATAGACAAATTGGGTGATCTCAAGAGATAGACATATAGGTTAATTTCATAAGATAGTTGTCCTGTTGAACAAATTGTGTCTTTTTGGCCCAAAGGGATTAGAGCTTGGTCCTAACGGCCCAAAAGATTAAGAAATTGACTTATGGCCAAAGTGCCCTTTGGGTCCAAATTACCCCTTACCTGGACATGTGAGAACAAATCCCTATAGACCTTGAAGTTAATAACAGAGCAAATCTCCAGTGACCTCTTGGGAGACTCGAATTTGAAATCTTAGATCTTATTTTCAAGACTTTACAGTTGGGCTAAAGTCTTTCCTATTACAAACTTGATTGTTACAACTCTTCATCAAGATTGTGATTAACACTTTAAGCAACTCAAACTCGGTTTCAGATTATGTGAATTGAGCTAAATTTCAATTAAATCTCAAACTTGTAAACAGACTTGATGAGGCCATTTTGCGCGTAGAAAAAGTAAACGCAAAAGGGTTAAGCTTGTGATCTAACTGGAACCGGAGAGGTGTAGTTTGAATTTGGTATTGGTAGGCACACCCTCAGTATCTAGATTGGTCATTTTATTGGACTGGTCCTAACATATTATCCAAGAAAATGAAATTTGTCCAACATAAATAGGCAAATAATCGAATCAGGAATGAATCGAAAATTTTAACTTAGGTGAGTGTAAATACATGTAACTCTTGCTAGAAAAAAATTGTCAATAAAAGTTTAAAACACATTAATTTTTACCCACACTAAAATATATTATTACTATTATTAACAAAATATTTTTACGAACATAGTGAATACAAAGAATTTGATCATATAGTTGAACATATTTTTCATTTGCATTAACTTATATATCTGATTGAGGGCGAATTGTATATCATTGAAGCTGATAATTGAGATTTCTTAACTTTATCATTCAATCAAGTACATTTTACAATTGTTTAATGTTAATCAGGTTGGATGTGTTTGAAGTACAAAATGAGCAAAAAATGGAATTTTAACTTAAAAGTCATTCATGCACGTGCGGAGGGTCATCCTGGCACATGCAACTTCTCATCCTGAAGTTCAAAGCATTTTGAAAAATCCAAACGTGCAGAGGGTTTTTCCCGCACGTGCGGTGACATTTCCCGCACGTGCAGCTCAACCTCCTTTTGCGTGTGCGACATTCTAAACCTGTTTTGAGGCGTGCAAGGTATAAAAAGGAAAAAAGAAAGCTGAAAAGGGTTCGGATATTTTTCCAAAGAAAAAGAGAGGCTAGGGTTTGAAGACAAAAAGCTTGGAGCTTCAAGGATGTCTTCCATGGTGGCTTTTCCCTTTACCACTTTTCATTCCTCCCTAAGTGGCTAGTCTTCCATTCTTGGGGGTCTTGATGAAACCCTAGCCATGTAAAGAGATTTTTCTGAGTCATTTATTTTATAAAGGTTTGAATAAATGTATGGATATTTTAGAAGTTTATAATAATATTTCTTTTTTTCTTTTCTTCAAGTATTTTAGTCTCTGTGATTGTTAAATGCTTTCCATACTTTTGTTTTCTTTGCGTTTGTGTTCAAAGTATGGAACAAGTCATGCTACAAGAGACAAGTCATGTTGCTACCATAGTTAGAGCGAACGACTCGTGCTACTTGAAATGATTTGTGCCTGTACATTGAATGCGACAATCCTCTTGATCAATGTTTCAAACTTGTAGTTGTGAAACATTGGGTAGTTCAAACCGAATTGCAACTGATGGCCATTGATAAATCTTATTTATGTGGTTAGTGGTGAATTTTTTGCCCTACGATTTTTCCAAAGTCAATATCTCAAACCCTAATTTTAATTTTCAATTCAATTTCTCAACTTCATTTTAATTCTCATTTAGTCATGTTATCCATCAATCTTTTTATCAAAACTAATTTAGGAACCTAGCAATTAAATTAGTTTAATTTCACAAGTGTCCTTGTAGATCGATATACCTAGACTTGCCATTATTCTAAGAAATTTTGGGTATAGTTTAGTGTTTATTTTTAGTGTACCAAATGACCCATCAAATTTTGGTGTTGTTGCCAGGGACTTCTAGCAAAATTAACTAATTTAAAGTTAGATTCTTATTTTAATTTTTTGTTTAGGATTTTACATTCTTGTGTTGCCAACTGTACAAATTTGTTGCCAGTGGAGCTATCACTAAAGCACAATCAACCGTAAAATAAAAGATAAAAAATAAAAAATAAAATAAAAAGTGATAGATAAACACGTCAAGCAAATCACCAAAGCGCTAAAAAGTAGGAGCTCAAGCAGAGGTTGGAGACAACAGCCTACACATTAAGCACCTGCAAGATGAGTAAAGCATTTTCATTAACCACTATGAATATTTCTTTCTTTAGTATTTTGTTTTTGTAGATAGCACATAAGAGTCAGAACTTAGTTTTTTTGTGAGTGGTGTATGCACGGGCGCCGTTCTTGCCACCCTAAACTTTGGAATTTATACCTTGAACTAGAAAAGACTCTTAGAAACCTTAGAACCTCTTCCCGTGTTCCTAGGCCTGAATATCCAGAAGAGATGGCTGAACAAAATCCTATCTCAAATGGGCCCAACCGGACCCTCAAGGATTACTTCATACCCACTGCATACACTTCACCATCATGCATTTAGTTACTGAACACCACTACGGCCCACTATGAGATTAAGTCCAACAATATTCAAATGCTTCCATCATTCCACAGACTTGCTCATGATGACCCTTACAAGCATTTGCACGAATTTCTAAAATTTTCTCTATAGAGAAAATCCAGAATTTTATCGATGAGGCCCTTATGTTGAGACTATTCCTATTTTCAATCAAGGATAGGACCAAACATTGGTTGAACTCCTTAACTACTAATTTTATCACAACCTTGGACCAATTATAGTAGAAGTTCATGGAGAAATACTTTCCCATTGGTAAGATCAACCAACTAAGGCGAGCCATCACAAATTTTGCTCATGTTGATGGTGAGCAATTTCACGAGACATAGGAGAGACTTTGTGACCTTCTCCAACAGTGTCCTCACTGCAAAGTACCCGATTGGCAACTTGTCCAAACCTTCTATTAAGGCTTAACTGAGCCTCACTACCAAATGATGGATTTATCTTGTGGTTGGACATTTATGGCAAAGGGTGATGCCGAGGCATGGCAATTATTTGAAAACCTTAGTGATAATTCTCTTCACCATGCCTCTGCAGCCCGGCAAACTTGACAACTTGCTACTAGAGCCCTGAAAAGAGAATGAGTTTATGAGGTTGGGCACAATGCCAAGCGGTATGAAGATTGATTGGAAAAATTATTAAAATTTTGCCTTAGTGGTGGGGGAATGTAAGAAGTGCCTTGTGATGAGGGTCTCCACGAAAGATTAGGGTGATTTCTCCATCACGGGTTATATGTGTTGGTGGAGTATGAATCATTACTCGATTTGGAGAGTCCTTGAGCTGTATTCACATGCTTTTGGACTTACTTCAAAAATTGTGGTGTCGAAGTGCATTCACTCAAGTCATGAGCATGGCTCGCATAAATAGCACAAGCCTCACCGACAACCACAACTCCTGTCTGCTCCTCAAGGTAACTCGACGTTTGAGACTATTGGAAGTTCTCTCAGAGCTTAAGGGGCTAGCACCAGTAGTTAATTCCCACACTCACTTCATTGCCAAGCTTGAGGCCTAATTGGGTCAAATAGCCAATAACATGAATAAGAGAGATGAGAGAAAATTACCGAGTTAGGCTGTGGCCAACCCTAAGGGGCAATATGGGGTAGATGGATCGAGTGGGAGTGGAAAGCACCATGAACAAGTATAGGTGCTAATTATTCTACAAAGTGGAAGGGAGTTAGAAGCTCGGCCAGATACATCTGATACAACCAAGGCTAAGAAGGGTGACCACGGTGGTAAACCTGATGAGAGCAAGGGTGATGGAGAAACACCAAAAGGGGGTGACATGACCCCTAATACTTCAAATGAGCCTAAGGCACCATACGTTCCTAAGGCACCCTTTCTCCAATGCCTTGATACACCATTCCCTTTCAATAAGAAGGCAACATCCATGGGGGCGATGATGGAGATTTTTAAACAAATGAAAATCAACCTCCCTCTGTTAGAGGCGATTGAACAAGTACCCTTCTGTACAAAATTTTTGAAGAACCTATGTATGCAAAAGCGTAAATCTAGGACACAAGTGTCCCAAAAGGTCCTACTTATAGAGCAACTAAACTCCATCTTGTTAAGTGACACACCCCTAGAGCTTAAAGGCCTAGGTGCCTCAACCATTGCATGCATCATAGGGGACCTATTCATTTATAGAGCTTTGCTAGATTTAGGGATGAATGTTAATTTGTTGTTATTCTCTGTATATGAGGAATTCGGTCTTGGCGAGTTGAAGCGCACCATTGTCATATTCCAATTAGTTGGCCGGTCACTCAAGGTGGCTCGTGGTACAATTAAAGATGTTCTTGTGAAGGTCGATAGGTTTTATTTCCCTGTTGGCTTCTTGGTTTTAGACATGGAACCGATAGCTATCACTAAAAAGTAAATCCCGGTGATCTTAGGTCTACCCTTATTGACCACTGCCAATGCTAGCATAAATTGTCGTACTGGGGTTATGGATGTTTTCATTTGGGAATATGCAAGTGAAACTCAATATT